GCTGTTGCTGTAGTTTTTTAATATTTTATTATAAGAAAAATTATATTATTATTTAATAATTATCTTAAAAAGAGTCTTATACATTAATAAAACTATTAAATTATACAAAACATTAATTAAAATTAATTTTAACAATGTAAATTAACACTTTTGCCAGAAAGCAACTCCACAAACAACTTAAGACTTTGGTCTTGGGAGTGTCAACATTGAGGTCCCTTCAACCTAAAATTTTCCATGGATCTACCACAGGCTGCTATGAATGATACAGAGCGTTCACAACTTAGCAAAAGATTAACCGTTCCTGTGCATTAACATTATGGAATTGCAAATACATTCCTTGATCAAATCCAATTAAATGAGAATACAAACACAACTGTGGGCACGATGTTTGGACTTTCATAGTGAGCTGTTTACAAATTACAGTTTAATATCAAAACTGACTCAGCCTTTCAATAAGTTTTTGACGCCAAATAACGCTGTAAACCCATGAAGCATAGCAAATTTGACAAGTCTAACACTTTTATTAAGAAAATTAAAAGTTAATCCTTACATAGATCATGAAAGTTTCGAGCCCTTATCAATATGTCTTAGCTCTACTTGCGCTTATAACTATAGGACTCATAACTTTATGTTTCCCGTCGGAGTCAGACCAAACCAACTGTCCAAATACAAAATCTCTAGACTCTACTTTACTCATAGGGTGGAATGTGACTATGAATTTCTTCTCTTCACCCATTTTTTTGAATGTCAATGTCTCCAGTTTAACTGATACCGAAACTCCAGTAGGTGACTTGATACGTGATGCACTAAAATCACCCTAACAAGTGTACTAGTCGCTCCAAGTAATATAATGACGAGAAGAATGTCGAACTCACGAGGATTGTGTCTAACTAAGTACTAAAATAATTAATCCAAATTTATTTGAACAACCAAATGGGAAGAAAGTTTAACTAAAAAAATAATAAAAGGAAAATAACAATTAAATTAAACCTAACTAAGATATGAGGTGCTAAGGTATTGACTTCACCATAATCAATCAATATAAATTATGGATTACCAAATTATTGAGTGTTGTTGTATGTGATGGTGGATTTCCCTAAATTAATTAACTAGTTTTCTCAAGTCAAGTTAATCATTCATTTGTTTGTTAAATTAATCATATCTCTATGTAATTTTAAACAAACTTATAAGCATTAAATTCTATGGAAACCTCTAGTTTAAGAAGGGGGAGCTTCTAACTCTCTTCTCTTCCTTCACTACCACATGTGAGCTAATTACCTCTCGGTCTCATAGTCTAGCACATGGTTTATATTATTATTGGTCTAATCTACGCAATTCTTTTTCAAGTTCATGCATAAATTCTTAAATCAGTTAAAAGATGATCAGGCTTCCAATGCATTAAATTCAATAATATAAACTCCTCACGCGAATAACTTTAATTGAAAGCATAAAATCACTAAATCCATATTGAATTGATTAGGTTACATCGTAACCCTAGTAGAATAAATTAGTTCATAATAAAAATAATAAAATATGAAATCAAAGTTATGAACATTCAAATATGAAACAATAGATAAAAACTTAAGGAAAAACAAAACCCAATTTGAGGAAATCGAACTCTTTGATCTTCTATTGTTGATGGAACCTTAATCTTAATCTCCAATAATGCTCAAAAGAGGGCTGCCACTAGCCTCTCAAAACTCTCAATTTAGATGGGTATTTATAGTATTTTAGAAACCCTAATTGAAATAGAAGTAGGACTTGGAACAGAAATAGGAAACTGAATTTTAGATGCTGATCGCGTGGTGTGACACTTCGAATTACGTGTTGACACAAAATAGAAAACAGAATCTGATTCTGGACGTTTAGCGCATGGTGTCGACACCACGATCATGTGTCGACACTACACCCGTGTCGGGTTTCTAGTCTCCTTTTGCAATTTTTTCAATGGTAAAATAGCAGATTTGGTTCCTGACTTTTGGATTCTGCACAAGTTGATCCTCAAGTCTCTGATCTCTTCAATTTACTTCTAAAAAGTAGGATTTCTTTCAATTAAATCCTTTTCTACACAAAGAATGTAAACCATGTAAAATCAAACAAAATCCCATAAAACTCATCCAAATATCAATAAAATCAAAGTAAAAATTCCCTATTAATATGTATATAAATTTAGCTCATCAAATTCCCCCAAACTTAAGTTTTACTCATCCTCAAGTAAAATAAAAAGACAAAAGAAACAAAAATAAAATCTAACTCACTTTCGTAGAAATCACGATTGCACTTAACATGTGCAACAAGTCTTTAAACCCCTAGATAACCCTAGTGGACGAGTTGTGTCTCGTGAGGGTTTGCAATGGATCTACCCACAAAATCCCAATGCAAAAATGCAACTATATGATATGCATGCAAAGAAAATTTAGGAATTAAAGGTCAATTAGAGGCAAAGTCTCAAATATTCAAAAGTTTTCATATGCTCACTTAAAGTAAAATACTCCATCTTATTCTTCACACCACTTGTTAAAAGATTTAACCCATGAGCACTTA